AATGCTTTAAAATATTCATATTCTTTCGCTATTGACAAGTTTTGGTCACAACGGTATAGGTTTGATGAAGGTATAAAACAGCTTTCGCTATTGACAAGTCTTGGTCACAACGGTATAGGTTTGATGAAGCTATAAAACAAAGAAATTCTAGTTCTAGACACCGAACAGTAGCAGATTGTATTTTAAAGTTTGATTTTATATGTTTATATACTGTAGCATGTAATAAACATTGGGTGTTTTAAAACTGTTAAAATATAAACATAAATACAATTTACTTTTTATTTTGTGATGTCGTATCTTCCTTGATACGTTATATTTAATATTTTTATTTCACAAATTCACATAATATGATAATTAACAGATGTGATTGAATGTGGTCTCTGCAGTGTCTCATTCAATATACCAGCGCTCTCTGCCTTAGAAGAATGCTATTGTTACAAGATTTCGAGAAAAAGAAAGGCAGACTGAATTGCTCCCCCCCCCGGTGAGACAGCTATAAGTTTAAGGATTTATAACCATAAAATCCTGGGTTCGATTCCCCAGCAGATAGCCCAGTGTGGTTTTGCTATAAAATAAAAAACAAGCAAATAGCAGACTGAATTAACGGTTTTTTTTATTCAAAGCAAAGACTTACTATTCAATATATCTTTCTTCCAATTACACGTGCATCAGGGGCGTCTTGTTGAACTTTTGTTTAGGACTAGAAGTTTCGTACATTGGTGTAAAATTGATTTTCTAACAGGTTGACAATGGACCTTTCCACTATCATCGTTGCTTCAGTGCTAGGAACAATGGCGGCACTAGTATCGATGATTATGACGTTATTCCTGTGTTACCTCTACTGGAAAAAACTCGGACACAAAAAGACGGCAAGAGATGAACTTGAACCACTACAATTTGGAAAGGCGCCACCACCTGTTGGACAAAATGAAGAGGTCAAAGAGCTTACACGACATAACGTGGAGGACCGTTGTTCACAAGGGCATCTGAGGTTAATCCCGTCCCTAGCATCTCAATCTATATCGTAAGCGTTCAGCTTTGTTAAAACCATTTTCATCTCACAAGAATATTGAATAAATAATAGCTTTTTGAGTGTGAAACTACCACTTCAGAACATCAGATGGAAAACTGAAAAAAGTTGCACTAGTTTAACCGCGAGAAAAAGGATCATAATAATGATAATTTTTCTTTTCATGGTTCACGTTAATGGCTTGCCTAAAACAAAATGTTTATACAATCTATGATGTAAGTGCCATTAGAAAAAACAATTACCTGAAATATTAAGAGTGGTATCAAAACTAAGTCAATCTAGTATTCTAAATAGAATTAAAACGATATAAACGTGTTTGTAATTACATGAACTTTGTTTTCTTATTTTCAGCATATCGGAAAACGGTAAAGAGAATAGTGGCGCCACCATGCAGGGACCAATTTCATTTCTTCAGTATCTTTTACCAACAGTTGAGGTAAAGTGTAATAACATACTTCAAATAACAGTATATTGTATGTATAACATAGCAATTTCAACTGTGTTTAGCAGTACATAATTCACGAATTACTAAAAATCTTTATGGTAAACAGTGAAGAAACTGATGGCGTTAATTGCTTCAGAAAGTGTCGCGAAGCTACAGAAGAGCTATCTACGTTAACCATCTTTAATTCTGAACTGACAAACGAGAGGGAAGGTTAGTTGGTCACAGCACCCAATGGGATTTGACCGTTACTCTTAAATGCACCAACGGTCCTAAAATGCGGAAAACGTTTTTGAGGCAACAGGACACGAACCCTGGATCCTCATATTCACAGTTCGGCAAGCTAACAATTATGCAGCCCTCGGCTTATGTTAAAAAATTATAATCCGCGTAACAAGATATAGTAAAGGTGAATGTGTAATATGATTCTGTTGATCACTTTTTGTGAAGATTTAATGTTACTATGGTAAAGTTATTACACAAGGTGTTATATGTATGCATTATAGGTCCTATTCATGTATCTGATAGTTCTATTAATTGTATGATTCTATTCTTCCTATAGAAAGTTGGACCTGGGCTATGACTAGAATGCCGGGCTGCGTATCGTGATGTCCAAGGTTCAAGCCTTGATATGTCGTTGAATAGAACACACATCGCTCTTTCAGCTTGGGGGTGGGGGTGTTATAACTGTGACGATCAAACTCGTTTCTCGGTAAGAGTAGTCGCTTAAACGGCGGTTGCAGCTTATTGGTTGCACTCCCTCTGGTTAACAGTTGTAAGTTTGGGTTGGCTGTGTCTGAAAATATCAAAATGAAAAGTATGATCCTCCTGTGAAGTAGGATAAAATGGGACTGACTCTATAAACAGCTTTTCCGAGTTAGTGTAAGCAGTGCTGGGTAATCAAATAAAAAATAAGACTGGTTAAGTAGTATTTTAGAATGTTAGTTAAATTGTTAAAATATAAGCTTGGTTAGAAAAATTATGACAGTTACCTATGACGCCTGTTATGCTTAAAATACAAAAGTCTGCGTCAAAATGTTCAAGATGGTTTACGGTAACTTCTATAATGTTTAAAGTATTAAAGTGCTTAATGTGTTTAAAAAAAACATATTATTAAGTACCGATTATGTAATGTTTAAACGTTGAATATTTTCGAATGTTTGTCTACAGCAGCAGGAAGAAGCTGCTGATTTAGCTAATGCCATGACTGAACCAGATGAACCAGCTGGACAGATACACTTTAGTTTGGAGTATAACTTTCCTAATTCTACGTTAATACTGAAGATTATACAAGCTAGCAACCTACCTGCGAAGGATATTATAGGTAAGTACAGAAAATGTATTTTTATTAATATAGTTCGATTTGGTTTTTTTTTTTTGGTTAAGCACAAAGCTACTCAGTGTGCTATCTGTGCTCTACCCTTTGTGGGGATCGAAATCAGATTTTTAGGGTCTGAAGTCCTCAGACTTACCATTGAGCCTCCGGAGGTAATGTAGTTTGAAGTAGTTGATTAATCTCTGGAAACTTCTATTATAATTTGCGTTGAAAAATATGCATATGTATAATAATGAAAATAAGACTCGGTGTTTCATTCAGGTTAAGTTTTAATTGATAAATGACGATGTATTATTTGGCTCAGAGAGTCTCTTTGTCTATAGCACAATGTTCGAAATTCTGAATTTATTTGTTGAAGATTCGTACTCGAATTCTCAGCTGTATTGACAAGACGAAGTGAACAAATTTGTAACACTTGGCTGTAGATGGATTTTACAAATACCGTCAGAAGACGAGCCCTCTTAAAGCGGGAACTAATAAACATGGAAACAACAAATATATGAACATTTTATAATGTAAATGATGGTTAACAGCCCACAGTATAATTGAGCATACGCAGGCTGTAAAATCTTCGTAAATTAAATAATCTCATTGATCGCATGGTATACAGTTACCTGTCAAACCATAGTTACTGGTAATTTGGGTACGTATTCAACCTATTTGTTGTAGGAATGTGTTTTGTGAAGGAGGCGTAAATAACTCTGTTTATCAACAGAAACGTCAGATCATTAACCCATAAAAACGTCTTGGTGTTACCTAATTTCAGGTGAAATACTTTAACTGTGATGATTTCAAAATCTGATTGAACTCAAATATCAACAACTTGTTTTTGAGCACAAGCTGATAGAAGTAAAATATTAATCCAGAACAGATGACATTTTAATCAAACTGTTTATATTTAACTGAGAAAATCTGACACAGAAGCTCCTGCTCTTCAACTTCAAGTTTCATATGTATTATGATAATACCCACTTTTTGTCTGTCCTGAAAATGCACGTGATGTAAATTTCGCCGGATGTAAATAAAGAGGTGATATAAATATACTTTAGTAAATATTTTGTACGGCAAAATATTAAAAGCTTATCAAGTTTTTAAAAAGGTCTAACGTTAACATTAGAAGTTTGATTATTGACAGCATTAAGAACGGTAAAGTTTAGTCTTAACTAAACTAAAGCAAAAAATGTACACATTTGCAATATTAATTTAGCTCTTTATCGAATATAAGCCGTACTTAATAAAAGCCCAACTAATGTTAGGCCTAAGACAAGTGAACTTACAGGTTTCGGTGTCTGCGATTAAAATTATTTTTGTATTATTCTAGAAATCGTGTATTGAAAGAAATACTGTTGCAATAAAGATACTAATTTTCTATTATTCTAGAAATCGTGTATTGAAAGAAATACTGTTGCAATAAAGATACTAATTTTCTATTATTCTAGAAATCGTGTATTGAAAGAAATACTGTTGCAATAAATATAATAATTTTCTATTATTCTAGAAATCGTGTATTGAAAGAAATACTGTTGCAATAAAGATACTAATTTTCTATTATTCTAGAAATCGTGTATTGAAAGAAATACTGTTGCAATAAATATAATAATTTAATCGCTAGTTGTCATATATTGCACTCAGATACTGCCAACTATCTTCACATCACTTCTTGGTGTAAGCAGTACAACAAAAGCGACAAATGTATTAACATTAGGTGCTTGAAATTGAAGCTAAATTTTTTCATGGAGAAATGAAAATAAATTGGTTAAGCTGGGCGAAAAAATTATTCCCACAACCAACCCATCAACCTGTTTACTTAGTTTAGCGCCTGAATAAAAACACTAAACTGTTTGGTAGCAAATTATAATGAAGACATGCTTAGTCAAACATGTTAGTAACTAAGTGCTCATTAAGAATTATTTGCTTATTTGTAATTAAGCACAAAGCTGCACAATGGGCTATCTGTGCTCTGCCCAGCACGGGTATCGAAATCAATTTTTTAGCGTTGTAAGTCCGCAGACATACCGCTGTGCCACTGGGGGGGCTCATTAAGAATACTGTGGCAAAGAATAGTAATAATACTGCTCAACTTTAAATTTTCTAATACGAAGGAAAAGCTCTGATTATTTTTGGCAAACATTAATTAATGGCCTATAATTTCTTATATTGTAAATAATTTTTTGTTTTAGTATTATTATAAGTTATACTCTATTGTTTCTTTGATGTTATTTTAATCCCTTCATTAACAACATTGGTTAGAACGTTAGAACGTTTACTATAAGTATTTTTATTATTTTTACTTTTTAATTGTTATATTTTCATAAGATTATTTTGAATTTTTTGCTTATTATGTGAATTTAGGACTAACCTAAATATTTTAAACTGTCCGAACCTCGTGAGGTATTGGGATTACGGCCGAAAATATATCTAACAGCGAGGTTATCCAACTGATGAAACTATAAATTCTAATCGAAGTAAGAACGTAAGAACCGAAATTCATTACTGGGTATATTTTAGTTCTGATCTATTTAAATAGCTTGCATTGATCAAAAGTGAATATCAATTTTAACTAATCTAGTATTTTAAATAACTAGTCAAAGAGAACGTTTCAATAAATATAAACACCTTATAATATTAAACTATTGAAATTTGCTATCGAAAAGTATGTTTTTTATTCAGTCATAAAATATCTAATTAGGTTGATGGATTAGATACAGGATCAATATTCGCTTCTAGCTTAATCAAATTATGAAATCGTGTCTGTTTTTTGTTGTTGTGTTTTGAAAATAGAATCTTGATATAAGTATTTCTGTAAGAAAACCGATTAACTTGAGATGGAAGTATTTCTTTTATAACTATGGGTCTGTTTGGACATTCAGGCTCTTGAATTTTATGTAGTCCATATAAAATACTACAGAGGAACCTAACGGGTCTGATATGTTTATACAAAACTTCTGAAATAATGATTTACTTTTTGAATTTGATAAATGTTCACTACTCTATTTTCTTTTCTCGAAATCGATGAAGATGAGATTGTTATTTTGTATTTTGCAAACTAGTTTGATTATTCAGAACTGGTTGTACTTTAGTAATACACTAATGTATAATAACAATAGCAACCCTTAATTTGTATCAGGTTTCAACAATACTATGAGATTAAGTGGATTCAAATAATATTAATAGTTATAATTGGGGTTATTGAATGTGTATAATGCTACACACTCTTCCTTCCTCAGGTTAGAGACGTGCTAGCATTCCTATTGGGGTTATTGAATGTGTATAATGC